CCTAAATTGTATAATGGTTAATATAAATTCTATTTTATAGACTGTTACATTACAGCTGCTTTTACATTACATGGTAATTATGGCAGAAATACGAAACTTCCAATGGAAGTTGCCATAAAGTTTTGTTGGCAACAATCATAGATTCCTATGTAAATAACCATGTAATGAGAAATTAACAAATATGTAACTGTTTATGTAATAATTTTCACATAAATTACCATAAAAGTATTGGTGTCCTGACACCAGCCCCAAGTACTTGTACTCATAAAACACCCAGATACTTGAAACTGATACCACATTTATGCATGGTGATGTAATTTCCTCTTATACTTTTCAAATAACCGAGGACAAAAACAAATCCATAGTTTAGAAATGTTTTAATATAATCATAAGTAATCATAAGACAGCAGATGTTTCATGTGTTCTGAATAAAATAAACAATTTTAAACACACTGTGTAATATTCAAGTACTAACTCATTACAGTAACTACTTGGTATCAGTAGTCAGTATTGGCAAATACCCAAACTAAAGTACTTATACTTGTACTCAGTCTGAAAAAAAGAGTATCAGGACACCCCTAAAAGCATTGATATTGTTGTTGTAATCTGGCACCAATCCATTATCGCCATCAGCTCAATACTCCAAACTGAGGTCATTCAAAGAGCTATCTCCAGCAGGTAAGATAATACATATTCAAGTTCAAGTTTATTGCCATTCGCGTCACATGTGGTACATGAGGTGGAACTGTGATGGAAATGTACTCATGGTCTCACACCTAAAACAAGCAAAAATATAAAGTATAAAAAGAAACAGTATTAAGATATAAACTAAGATATAAGCTAAACAAATGTCAAATGGTACACTAAAAGATCTAAGCTATATGCTAAACACTAATAATGTAAAACAATACGGCGTAACAACAGCAGCCCAAACATGAGTCTGTGGTGAGCAGATGGATATGAATGGATACAGTAGCAAGAGATAATCAGCAGCATGAGATAATCAGCAGCATAAGATCAGCAGCATGGATAATCAGCAGCACAGATAAGTCACATATCATCAATTAAAGTGGCAAACGTTTTCCACAGAACTCCTCTTCATCAAATCTGAACTCTTCTTTTTAAATATCACCTGATGCTTTTAGCCATCAGATATAAATGTGTCTTACAGCAGAGGAGTGTCAGCTGCAGGCAGACATGGAGCCCACAAACAGGTTTAACCATTAATTAAATAAAAAGGAGCAAACGTTTGAATGTCTACGTGTCCTTTGCAGTCCATTCTTCTTTTTCCTGGCCCTGAGTTTTATTATTGTCACGAGAAAAGGTTAAACTCCCACTGGAACGTGTCATTGTGGCCTGTACAGGACTGTGTGTGTGTGCGTGCGTGCGTGCCAACATGCTCCCATGTGTCAGCCAGCACCGACAGATGAAGGAAAGGCAGAGAGGTGCATCTCATTTATAGATGTTTTACAGTTTTGTTTTGAAGGTTCTTGCCCACAGTGTCGTGTTCCCACATGCACCACTACAGGCAGAACATGTCATTTAACTGCAAAACTCTAAATCTTCATTTATTTAAAGCACAAAAGGCAATCAGGGAGAGGATTTATTTCTCAAGTGCACAATTTGAAAATAAAAAAGCATACCATTTCTGAAGAAATGAATACTTGACCAATGCTTTCCTATCCAAATATAATAAATAACTGAGTAGTTGAATGTTTTATCTGTCCCCTCTGTGTGTGTAGGTATGTCCTCTTGCAGGGAGAGTCCCTGAGTGCCCGTGGTGTCTGCTCAGTCATTCAGGAGAGGTCAGATCCTTCCTTCTCCTCCCATAATGAGACTAACATTGTGACCCTTCAGCTTTGACTAATCCCTCAACAGTTCCTGCACCATCTAACATCCTCAGAACAGAACACACACAGGGCTGCGTCCGCTGCAGTTACACACCAAGGTTTGTTTTGCCAAAAATGTAACACAGAGTGAAGAGTCTGCAGGTGATTAAAGTCTTATTCTGCTCAAAAGCCCTTAGCAAACAATTTATTACCACTAAGCTTAATCCACCCATTAACAGCAGGAGGCTGGTGAAGCAGATGTCTCTTGGAGGGGAGCTCATTTGTTCAGTAAAAGAAAAGTGAGGTTGTACAGGTGGAGTAGAAGAAATATTATAAAAATATGTTCACAGCTCAGGGTTGGCTTGGGTTTCCTGAGCTATCCTTTAGTTATGCTGCTATAGGCTTGGACTGCTGGAGGACAGAATGACCACATTTCCTCACTCTGCTGCTGTCTTTGCTTACTCTACTCTACCTGTTTGTATTTGTAATTATTTCTATCTTTAATGTGTTTTTTTTGTCTTTCCTCCTATAGAAAGTACATCTGGACCTGCCATTCTGTGTTTGTCTGTTTCTACTTCTTGTCCTCTCAAACTCAGCCAGTCAAAGCAGAGGGCCGCTTGTCCTGAGTCTGGTTCTGCTGGAGGTTTCTTCCTTTTAAAAGGGAGTTTTTCCTTTCCACTGTTGCCACTGTGCTTGCTCAGGATGGGAGACTGCGACAAAGTGAAGATTCAACGCAATCTGCTGGTTTCCTTACATAGAGAACTTTTACTAATTAGCTTTTATAATGTATGTGAACGGTTCTGTTCAGTGCCCTGAGATGACTTCTGTTGTGACTTGGCGCTATAGAAATAAACTGAATTGAATTGAACTTCACAGAGCGGATACATCATTACCACTCTCTGAGCTTTGTTTTAAATCCTTAAAAATAAAAATAAAAATCTATATGGCTCTGAGCAGCCTGGTAAATGAACACTGTAACAGAAAGGTGACAAATTATCTACTAGATAATAACATAACAGAGCTTAAAATAACTAAAAACAGGACTTTGTTATTGAATATCCATGAAACAGTCAGAAACACAGCACCCAGGATTTTCAGCTAGCATATTTATTTAGTAACCAGGCTTCGTCAATGGAACATCTTTCATGACCATATTTATGGTGTTACATAACGTCTTGTCTAAATGAGCAGCTGTTGTGATGTTAAAGTGTTGTAAATATTATCTACTTGCAAAAAATGGCAAAGTGTCATTCCAGTGATTCTGAACAAATCCAGCAGCGTTATCAGTCAGCAGTCATGTGTCGTGTGTTTTTAGACTGATGAGTGATATTGTTTCTGTTGATACTGATAATGAGTGGGGTTGACTGTCTCCACTGCCCCCTACAAATGTGGAGTTACTTAATGCTGGAATGAATCAATGGACATTTGACACACAAATGTATAACAACTATTTAGCAATAATTATATTATTTACAAACATAAG